TATCCACCCATACACTCCCTCTCTGAAAATACTTCACTTCAACTTACAACCACACGCCTGAATAGCAAAAATTTTTTGCAATGGTCTCGGACTGCCCTTATGGTGATTCGTGGTCGTGGGCGTCTTGGGTATGTCACTGGAACTACAACACGGCCAGAGGAAGATGACCCAGCCTACGCTGTCTGGGATGCACAGAACTCTATGGTAATGGCTTGGATAGTTAATTCGTTAGACGAAGATATTAGGGAATCTTACCTGTATTATTCAACTGCAAAGGAACTTTGGGATGCACTTACAATGGCGTTTTCTGACCTGGAGAATTCTGCTCAATTGTTTGAGCTTCGAAACAAGGCCCGAAATTTACGACAAGGAGAACTCGATGTCACGCAGTATTATAACTCCCTGCAACGACTATGGCGAGAAATTGATATGTTTGTCCAGATCGACTGGGATACACCGAAAGATGCAGAGAAGTATAGGAAACAGGTGGAAAAGGAGAGAATCTTTGATTTCCTTGCTGGATTAGTTCCCGAATTAGATGAAGTTCGAGGCAGATTACTGGGCATGAAGCATACTCCGGTGATTGATGAAGTGTTCGCTGAAGTTCGAAAAAGAGGCTAGCAGACGACGGGTTATGCTTGGAGACCCCGCAACCACCAGTAGAGAACTCTGCCCTTGTTGCCCGTGGACAAGAGGCATCGCGAGGGGTGAAGAAGGCCAATAATTCCTGGTGTGAGCACTGCAAGAGATCAAACCATTCAATTGATTACTGCTGGGTCTTACAAGGCAGACCACCGAACAAAAAGCAGGGAACCCATTCCAATTGGAGGCCGAATCGAGCTCCACGAGAGGAAACCCAAATGCGTACTGGACTCCAGAGCTCAGACGAACCACCGCCAGTCCCAGCCCAGTCCGAAAATGTCTCTCTTTCTCTTACCAAAGACCAACTGGACCAGCTATACAAGCTTCTCATGCCGTCTTCGAGCTTAGTGGTTGAGAGAGGTAATTGTATGTCGGCTTTAACAGGGAAAGGTAATATAAAATACTGGGTTGTTGACTCGGGGGCCACAGACCATATGACTGGGTGTGAAAAATTGTTTAACTCTTACTCTCCATGCTCGGGAAATTTTAAAGTGAAAATAGCTGATGGGTCACTCTCCCCTGTTGCAGGAATTGGAACAATTCGACTAACTCCATCTGTCGAATTAAAATCTGTGTTACATGTTCCAAATTTATCTTGCAATCTTCTTTCTATTAGCAAATTAACAAAAGATTTGCAGTGTAGTGTCAATTTTACTGAGTCGTTGTATATTTTTCAGGACCTGACTTCGGAGAAGAGGATTGGCAATGCTAAAGAACGTGAGGGGCTATACTATTTTATGGAGGACACCTTCTGGAATAAACAAGCTCATACTGTAAACTGCAAGTCTACCCCTAGAGAACAAGAAATTGCATTATGGCATCGTCGATTAGGTCACCCTAGCTTTTCATATCTTAAGTTTTTATTTCCATCATTGTTTCGTATTAAAGTTTCGCTTCATTGTGATATTTGTCAACTTGCTAAACATACTCGTTCGTCTTTTCAATCTCTTGAGTATAAATCTTCGTCACCTTTTACTCTAATACATACGGACTTGTGGGGGCCTTCTAGGGTTACGAGTACTGGGGGTAAACGTTGGTTCATCACCTTTACAGATGATCACACAAGAGTTTGTTGGGTCTATCTCTTAAAAGATAAGTCTGAAACTGCCCAAATCTTTAAAAACTTTTACACTATGATTCACACTCAATTTGATGTCAAAATAAAAGTCTTTCGAACTGATAATGGGCGGGAATACTTTAATCATGTTATGGGAAATTTTCTCACCAAGAAAGGTATTCTACATCAAAGCTCTTGTGTTTTTACTCCCCAACAAAACGGAATTGCAGAACGTAAAAATCGTCACCTTCTTGAGACTGCTAGGGCCCTTATGTTCACTAATACTGTTCCAAAATCCTTCTGGGGAGATGCAGTCCTCACTGTATGCTACCTCATAAACATAATGCCTACTCGGATACACAATTTCACAATCCCGTTACAAGTCCTGTCAAACTCTTACCCACATCTACGATCCATACTCTCTATCCCCCTAAAAGTGTTTGGATGTACTGCCTTTATTCACATCCATGATTATGAGCGTACTAAACTCGACCCTAAGGCTAGAAAATGTGTATTCTTGGGGTACTCTCCAGCCCAGAAAGGTTACAGGTGTTATTCTATGGATGTTACATTCCTTGAGTCTCTTCCTTTTTTCCCCCAAAATTCCCCTCAGGGGGAGGAACTTGATATTGAACATTATGATGGTAATATTTGGGAAACTATGCCACAAATATCACATCACCCACACCTATATCAAACGACACTTTATCCTCACAGAGTATTGATCCTCATGTACAGCCTAGCCTACCGACAGGGGGAGACAAGCAACTTACAATTACACCTGAGCTACGTGTTTATTCTAGAAGAAGAAATCCTGAAACAGTGGAACACCTCACAGTTCAACTGCAAAACCATGAATCTGATCCGGATCCAAGTAATCTCTCTACCCAAAACAGTGACACTACTAATGATTTGGATGTTCCCATTGCTCTCAGAAAGGGAATTCGATCTTGTACACAACACCCTATCTCCAACTTTGTAGGGTACAGTCATCTATCTAATTCAGTTCAAGCTTTGGCCACAAACCTGGGACTAATTGAGATACCAAAATCCATTCATGAAGCTCTATCAATTCCAAAATGGAGAAAAGCAGTTGAGGAAGAGATGGAAGCCCTGAAGAAGAATAGAACGTGGCAGATTATGGAGAAACCTAAGGACAAGTCAACTGTTGGGTGCAAATGGGTGTTCTCTGTCAAGTACAAGTCAGATGGTTCGGTAGAGCGCTATAAAGCCAGGTTAGTAGCAAGAGGATATTCCCAAACATATGGAGTTGACTACCAGGAAACATTTGCTCCAATTGCAAAATTAAATACAGTGAGAGTCCTTTTGACACTAGCAGCAAATTTAGATTGGGAACTTCAACAACTAGACGTAAAAAATGCATTCTTGAATGGTAACCTGGAAAAAGAAGTCTATATGGAACTCCCCCCTGGATTTGATGAAGCTAAAATTCAGGGAAAGGTCTATAAACTGAACAAATCCTTATACGGACTGAAACAATCCCCACGAGCCTGGTTTGAGAGGTTCATGAAGTCCGTATGTCAACAAGGATATAAACACGCTCAATCTGATCATACTATGTTCTACAGGAGCTCAAGGGATAAGATTACTATTCTAATTGTCTATGTGGATGATATAATTCTGACAGGTAACAACTGTGAAGAGATGGAGAGACTGAAGAAAGCCCTTCTGCCGAGTTTGAAATAAAAGACTTGGGTCCTTTACGGTACTTCCTTGGTCTAGAGGTTGCAAGAAATAAGAGTGGAATCTCGATTTCCCAGAGAAAATATGTCTTGGATCTCTTAAGAGAAACGGGTATGTTAGGAAGTAAGCCAGCAGATGTTCCTATAAATCCCAATCATAAACTGGGGGATTGTTTGGGAAGCACACCAGTTGACAAAGGAAGATATCAGCGGCTTGTTGGAAAGCTCATTTACTTGTCACACACTAGACCTGACATTGCCTTTGCAGTAAGTGTTGTAAGCCAATTCATGCATGCTCCATTTAAGGAGCATATGGAGCCTGTTTACCAAATCCTGAGGTATTTAAAGGGGACCCCTGGACTTGGACTCCTCTTAAAAAAGAATTCAGAAAGATCTATTGAAACCTTCACAGATGCTGATTGGGCAGGGTCAGTCATGGACAGAAGATCTACGACCGGTTATTGTACCTTTGTGTAGGGAAATCTGGTCACCTGGAGAAGTAAAAAACAACCAGTTGTAGCTAGAAGCAGTGCTGAAGCAGAATTCAGGGCATTGGCACATGGGATTTGTGAAATCATGTGGTTAAAGTTTCTATTGGAAGAGCTTGGTATTGAGGAAAATAAGCCTATGAAAGTTTATTGTGATAACAAAGCAGCTATTGCAATGTCGCACAATCCGGTTCATCATGACAGGACAAAACACGTTGAGGTGGATAGACACTTTATCAAAGAGAAGATAGAAAATGGGACCATATGCATGGTGTACCTGCCTTCGGCTGAACAGGCTGCAGACGTATTGACAAAGGGGTTATTTAAACCAATGTTCGAAAAGATGGTGGACAAGCTAGGATTGTTTAACCTATACCACCCAGCTTGAGGGGGAGTGTTGAAGATCACAGAATATTTGGTGGAATATATTATGGACTAGAGATATATTATTCCCTTAGTTAGAGATTTTGTATATTTTACTTTTTGGTATGTTTCTATCCCTATAAATAGGGTTGTACACGGTTGAAGAGAAGAAGAATTGCTTTCCTCGGTTATTATCTCTTCTCCTACTCCTCTCTCCCCACTTTCAGCAACTTCTTTTAACAATTTAGTAAACAATATATTTCATCATTTCTTCTCTTCTATAATCCTTCAGCAAAATGATCTCCTGTAGAACCGACAATAGCCATCAGGAACCTATCAAAATGATCAACCATCGGGAACCTAACATAAATACAAGACCCTCTCCATTAACTACATTATCACTCTCCATTAAACTCATTTTTTATACTCTCTAGAAATAATAAAAACTAGGCCTCCATAATCTCTCTCTATCTCTTGACTAGAAGTAAATATGGGAAATAAAAGAAAACGACGCAAACCTACGAGGGATCTTGTAATAAGTTTCCCTATGTTACAAAGAAAAGGAAAATCATCTTGAAGTCCAAAGATAATTTTTTCCTCATATACACTCTTTGTGGATGAGATGGCGTGCCTAACGACTTCGCATGCATAACAAAGCCCCTAGAATCCTCACTTTCGTTCTTTAGAATACACGAAATATAGAATAAACAAAAAAGTTAAATCCATATTTTACTTTGAATAATTATTAGAGTACTAGACACACCATGATGTGCATCTTCCTTGTTTTTGTGTTATATTTGTACTTCAGCAATAGATTTTTAAATCCTTAACAAGGAAACATGTTTCTTCTATCGGAGTGCAGAACAATTCACAACGCTTGTGAAATTCTCAGTCATCCTTTCTGTTGGAGTATTGCTTCCCACATTATCAACAGAATTCCTACCCCACTCCTCCACAACAAAACTCCCTTCGAAATGCTCTTTGACAAACCACCCAGCCTTTCCCACCTAAAGGTTTTTGGCTGCCTCTGTTTTGCATCTACCTTGACAAACCACCGACAAAAGTTTGATCCTAGAGCTACAAAATGTATATTCTTAGGGTATCCTTCTAATTACAAAGGATACAAACTTATGGATTTAGTCAACAACAAAATAATTATTTCCAGAAATGTTACATTCCATGAAACGAACTGGGAAGGTTGCTGAAAATGGAAACATGAAAGAATGTGATTCATTGTTGACTGGAACCATTGAGAGGCATAAAGCCAGATTAGTGGCAAATGGGTATACTTAACAGGAAGGCTTGGATTTTTTTGATACTTTTTCTCCTGTCGCGAAAATCACCTCTATTCGGCTCCTACTTGCCACAGCTGCAATCAAGAATTGGCACCTTCATCAACTAGATGTCAATAATGCCTTTTTACATGGTGATTTATATGAGGAGGTTTACATGGAATTGCCTCCTGGACTGAATACTACAGGTGGACAGGTTTGCAAATTGCTGAAGAGCATCTACGGTCTGAAACAAGCCTCTCGCCAATGGTTTGCCAAGCTATCTCATGCACTGGTCAACTATGGTTTTATGCAAGGAACCTCTGACTGCTCATTATTCATCAAGAAATCTGATCATTTCTTTATTGCTTTATTAATCTATGTGGATGATGTGATCTTGGCCAGTGATAGTATGGATGAAATTCAGAAATTGAAAACCTTTTTGCATGACAAGTTCACCATCAAAGATCTTAGCCAGCTGAATTAAATATAATGTACATGAACAGAACGTGTGACTTATTTTTAATGTGGACCCACCTACATTCAAAATAAGCAATCATAAGCTACACATTGAAGCTTATC